TTCCATTTCTTGTTTTCTCTATGTTTTGCTTTTTTTTCCTCGTCCTTGATTCCCTATATCTTACCCTCTGCCATCTCCCACTCTCCTCCCACACTGTCTCTGGTATCTATGTTTGCTTTCTATACTGTTTCCCCCCACATTTTATTGAGTCACTAAAGATCTTAATTAATCTAAATGTTTTCATAGCAAGCAGAGCTGATATATACATTTCTATGAACACAAGTCCAATTTTAGGCATTAGCCTCAATGAGTAGAATGAACATCCTATAAAGTAGCACCTGGCTGGGGCTATGTATCATACTGCAGTCATAGAATAGGTTTTTTTTTCTGAAACTTTTTTTGTTTGCTGTGATGATGCTTAGGGAAAGGGAAGGAATGTAAATTAAGTTGAAAAAAAAAGTTTCAGAAAAAAAAATATCCCTTCTTCTTTCTAAAGGTGCCAAATGTTTTTTAAAATTCACTTAAAATAACCAGTTCTTTACTCCAGAAAGGTAGTAGCTGACAGTAATTGGATAATACAGTCTGACTCATTTATTAAAAAGAAATTCAAAGTCAATTGATTTAATAACCATTACAATATTTCATTAAGATATAATAGGCTAGTGCAGTGCCCCCCCCTTTTTTTAATTATTAAGAGTTATAGATGGTATCTTCAATGAAACTTCCAGAATTTTCTTCCTCTTTTTGCTTATCTATATTGGCCAGATTTTTGACAATGAGTAAGACTGACCTTTGCAGGTTACTTTGAAATTAAAAGAAAGCAAAAAAAAAAAAAAAAACCGAACTAAAAAACCTGTCATTTTAATACCCTATTAATAAAGATTGATTACAACACTTGATGGACAAAAAGTTAGAGATGAAACACACAACATCAAGAAAATATAGGGAAAAATCTCCAGTTCTCTACAGTAGATGTCTAGCCCAATATGGGTGAAACAGAAATTTGCACAAGAGGAGAAAGAAACATGAAGAGCAAATAAGTCAGCCAAGGGAGAAGACCACAGCTTCAGTATAAGCCTGTATCTTTCCCAAACAACAGTACCCCTCTCTGTCGGATACTGTGGGAGTGTGCGAGCGCCCAGCATCATGGTTCCACTGTCAGACAAGAGCGCTCGCCACCACGCCTGTTCTGGAGACCAGCTGCTTACCCACTGCAAGGCATGGCCAAAGATAGTTTGAACCTAATTAAGAAATAATTCCACATGTATAGAAATTTCAGCAAAAATAATTATTTCCATTTGTTAATCCTCATTTAAGTGTGAACATAAATGTAAACAGGAATCAAGCCTACATAGAAGAGACTGATGCTAATGTAAATATTTACTCCAATATTAAATGCTTCAAAGGAGAGCGTCTGCATACATAATTGGAGTACAACCCCACTGCCTTAGCAGGAAACGTGATAACCATTTAAAAACTGCGTTGTAAGGACAGAATCTGCTTCTCTAAAGGAAAGGGAATGATTATTTCTATCTCTCCAATTTCTAAAACTTGGACTAATGTAACTATTAATCAGCCAGTTTTACAACAGGAGAAATAATGGTTACCATTTGGATGCTCAAGCCCAAATCAAGTTAGAAGTTCCAACGTGGCAATTGTTAGTTTAACACAAGAGGCTGACATTTCAATACAAGCTTTAAAATGAGAGAAACCCTTTAAGCAGCCTCTAGACTGTACGTCCCATGTTTATACTCCTTTTCCTTCAATAAAAACAAAATTCTAGAGCCGCTACAAGCAAATGTTCAGTGGTTGACTTACATGCAGCTGTTATCCCAGGAATCACTAGGGGCCCCCTTCTATCGTCTGATCAACGCTGCAGCCATTACTGAGGACCAATTTGTAACGGTTTATAAGTAGAACTCCTTCTCTCATTTACCCTCGAGACTGGCCAGAAGGGTCCTCCAGCCTCTTCCACTGCATAAATCTATAGGCTAAAGTCCACAGAAATAAACCCCTCCTGGAACATCATCATGTAGCAGGGCCCATACTTAAAAGCTCTGATCTGAGTAAGAGCATACTCTGCCCTCAGAATCCAGAGAATCAAATGCCCGGCAGTGGTAATTTTTCCAGTTCGAATGTGGGTACCACTATATCCTTTTATATTCTTTTATATATATATTTTTAAATCCAAGAAAACTATGCCCTGTACCAATTCCTAAGCCCCCATCTGTTACTTTGCTTCTCTTCTTCCCTGAGTTAATTTCCAGGCACACATTTATAAGCTAGGGGTCTGAGGAGTAACAAAGAAAAGCCACACATGACAAAACTCACCCCTCGGCTACGTTGGCTCACCCTAGAAAACAGGAGTAGAAAAATAGGCAGACTGTACTGTAATTTGCCATGCACACACAGCCAGCACATTTTTTCTAGGTCCACAGCACTCAGACCACTATAATTTGTTGTATTATATACTGCACATATTTCAGAACTGTAACATAAACACACCAAGGTGCTAATTTGGCAATGGAGAATATTACTTAGGCTTCAAAGTCTGCCAGTAGATTAGTCATTAAGCCCCAGTAGTAAGGCAGAATTGAGAGTCCTGAATGTTGTGTGAACCTTTTTCTTCAAGCCAGTTAAAAAGTTCTGCCCTTATTCTTTGGAACAATGTAACACAAAAATGAATGTTGCAGAGAATGACACTAGCACTTTTGTGGGGTAAGGCAATGTGGGGGTGTTTGCCACCATCAGTATTTCTATGCCAGGTGAGAGAGGAACACAAGATACAAGCAGAGCACTCTTATAGTAAGAAAGGGCTTTGGGAACATGAATAAATGAGCATCATTACCTAGACCTTGACTCTCCACGCTCTTGGTGTCTAACCCTTAGGTATCCCCAGAAAAGCCAAATGATTTTTATATTCAGTGTGTCTCAGCCAGGATCTTATTTCCAGGAGATCTACAAGGTGCATCTCTACATTTAACTCAGTTACTGCTTGGTTTTGGCCAGTGGTTCTGAAGGCTACAATGCTTTTGGACGTTATAGTAAAGCCACTGATACGGACACTGTTATTTCCTGCCTTGAACTTCTCATTATCAGCAGGGCTAGAGCAGGAAATGATTCAACTGGGGTAGGCTGCATGGTACCCAGCAGATTTTAAAGAGCCCAGGGGCTGCCTAGAGCCCATAAACATCAGCAGCTTGGAAACTAGCAGGAGGTCCAGGTGGGTAGAGATGGGAGAGGCAGGCAGTGGGATTTCAGATGCTCTGAGATGCAATATCGTCCAATTCCTTGGCTACTATGATCAGTTGTGTGAAGTACTTATTAGAATGTTCTCAAGTAGGAGAAAATACTGGAATATCATTCAAATAATAGCCAATAAAACAAACAACCCAACAAAAAGGTAGATTTCCTCCAACTGTAGGACTCAGCAGTGACGTCTGGAACAAATGGGGAACAGGGCTAAGTGCACAGATCAGAGACCTTTCAAACCTGGCCAAGACATCAGCACCTCTAGTTCTTTCTTTCCTTCTCTCTAAACCTGGGTTGTGTGGTTTAGATCTCAGATAAAACAAATAGTGATGAAAAAATTAGCTCTATAGCTAATTTTCCTTTCAAATGGGATGAGGATGAGAGTGAGAACAATTAAGTCTGAAATACATCCTTCAGGTCTGATTAGAGATCAGAGTTGCTTTTTAAAAATTAGCTTTTTGTCTAAAATTTCAAACCCAGTATGCATCACTGGGTTCCACTGAAAGAGAGCCAGCTTACTGCAGCAGTCAATTTTTCCCCTTGGTTATACTCACAAATATTTTTCCCCATATTTAGGAAAGTAAACCTTTTTCTTTCAAAAATGTTTTCATACTGGGACCAGCAGTTAGCATAATGGCTATGTCGTTGTACTCCCACGTAGTTGACCACAGTTTGCATCCCGGACCCGGTGGCTTGAGACTCACGCCGGGCGCATGTGCATGAGTGCCCAAGATCCCGAGAGGAGAATGGAGGAGAATGGATTGCGGCATGGCCATCCCCCCTGGGGGGTGATTTCTCGCTTTCTATCTCTCTGTCTCTGTCTGTCTGGCGAGCACACGTGCCCTATTAAAAAAAAAAAAAACTTTCCAAAAAAAAAAAGTTTTCATACTTAATCTTAAGGTGCTCTGTTTTAACAGAAAGTTCATGAGCACACAAAAGCAAGTTTAAAGCATTTATTTGCATTTTGCATAAGGGATAGATGTGCAATATGATTGAAAATAGCATGTTTCCAATTCAGTAACGTATTTCAGCTGTTGTCTTGCCTGTTAACAAGTGGTGGGTTAGCAGCCTGGGACAGCTTAACACCGAAAGAGGGTCAAGAACTAAGTCTGGGGTTATTCACCAGCTCTTGCTACAAGTTTCAGGAGGGCCAAGGAATTCGTTTTGCTCATGGATGTGCATCAGATACCTAGTACACTACATGGCTCAAAGCTGGGACTTAATCATTGTTTATTGAATTACAGGAAATATATACTTAGCTAATCCTCCATTTAATTTCATCAGTACAAAATGCCGAGACTGACACCACAATCGCATTTATTGTTTGTCAGTTGAGTTTGAAAAGTTTGCTCCATTTCCTTGTGCATTAAAGCCTGTTCATGTCACATGGCAGAACAGCCACGTTTACCTTATGGCACTTGGTGTCATTATGTACTTACTGAAATAAGATTAAGATGCACTGGCAAATAAAGCATGGACAAAGCAGTTGTCTAATTTTCCAGCTTATTTCTGGCAAGAAACTGAGGAGTCAAAACTTAGCCCTTATTTCAAAAGGAAAAATGTCATTATGCATTTTTATCTGACGTAGAAAGAAAATACCATCTAAAAGAAGGGCTAATTGCCTTTTATTTGTCTCAAGTCATAGAGAAGTCTCTACATCATACATCCATGACTTATAAACAACTTTTAAATAGTTTGTATGCTTATATGACAAAGCTCTATTTTTAAAACTAATTGGTTAAATCAGTTGTATACATTTAATTACACTCTATGCTTAAAATTTCTCTTGCTTGATATCAAATACCTACTATTAATGCCCTCACATCTGGGACTTCTGGCACTGGTGGAAGTACAGGTATATTTACCTTCGAGTACTGTACGAAAAAAAAACACAAATTGGTAAAATCGAAGGAGGATAGTTCATGCAGCATAAACTAAATGTAACCTGCTTTTCAGTCAAATCTATCGGGAAAACATCGTTGAGAACTGAGACCTTCCAGCAGTCAATATTAATTCCACACGGCGGTGGACCAGCAACACGAGATGTACTGGACACAGCGCTCATCGGGCATGTTTTCGTGCTGCTGTGCTGAGCTTATGGCAAGGGTCAGGGCCTTTTCTTTTTTTCATCTTCTTCGTCTTGGCATAAACCCACTAGTTATCTGAAGGACAAGTCTCCAAACACTGAATAGCTGTTTATCCTTGCTAGAAAGCACGACTGCTGATGATTTAGAAAAAAAAGAAAATACAAATCAAACAAACAAAAGAAATGGAGAGAGGTTTGACAACTTTTGTAAATGTTACAGACCTCAACAAAAAAGGGGTTGGGGTGCCCTCTGATTTAAGATGAGAAGCAAATTGGGCATTTCCAAAGTTAATTATCGTTCTTAGAAAGTATATTATTGATTACTTATTGCAAGATGACACCTTCTCTCGTAAATCATGGTGTTTAGAATCAGAGTTCACCACGAAAGCACAAGTCGTATCTGCAATGATACATGAAGACATAAAGAAGCTAGAGTCTTGCCAATTTCCTAAGGACATCATCCTGTTCCTTTTTTTCTTTGTGGCAATACTAGGAAAACCATTAAGCAGCAATGTGAACATCACAATACTGCATGTTATTTGCAAATGAGTCACATTTTTATTGTTCTATTGGTGTGACCTTAGAAATGTGGCCTTGAAGAATAAAAAAAGGTAATGGCACAATAAACGCAATAAGATTTCTAAAAACAGTTTATTGGAAAAGTGCTGTGAAACTCGAATTCTTCTAATCAAACGATGCCACCCCTTAGAGAAATTTTCCTGTGCATTATTAAAGTGATATACTGCAGTACTAGTTAGAGCTCCATAACCTTTAAATTGCCTGATTGTAATTAAGGCCACTAGTTTTATTTAGGAAGGTTCAAGGAGGCTCAATTTAAGTTGGCTTAACTAGTGTGAATTTAATGTCATGCCGCCAGAAGGCAGAGGCACACTCTGGCCTGGCTGTTCTGTGGCAAATGCAGCTGTGGGGTCATGTATTCTAAATTAAGCCCAGATTTAAAGAAACTACAGACATCAGTAATAGCTGGATGTATGTAAGTTTGTATCCCCACGTCTGCATCTGTACATCATTCATTCATTCATTCATTTGATATACCAACAGTTTCCCAGTTTGGGAATCTAAATACATTTGTTTATTTATAGTGTGAATAGAAGAGGTGCATAGTTGTTTTTAAGGGCATAATGAACGTGTTTATGGAAAGGTGGAGATTAATGCAATGTCCTATCACCATTAATTATTTAAAACAAAATATGGGGCCAGTCTCATAGCCTAGTGGTTAAGGGAGCTAGTCTCACATGGCCGACTACAGTTCGAATCCCAGACCCAGCTTGAGAAACACACTGAGTGCATGTGCAGGAATCCCGCAAATCCTGATGGGATGGAGAAATGAAGAAAGGATTATGGCGTGACAGTGCTAATCAAGTGGTGCTTTTCCTTCCCTCTCTCTGGTGATCAACTATGCCCTCTGGCAAAAAGAAAGAAAGAAAGAAAGAAAGAAAGAAAGAAAGAAAGAAAGAAAGAAAGAAAGTGGAAGGAAGGAAGGAAGGAAGGAAGGAAGGAAGGAAGGAAGGAAGGAAGGAAGGAAGGAAGGAAGGAAGGGAGAGGGAGGGAGGGAGGGAGGGAGGAAGGAAGGAAGGAAATGTGTACTTAACAAAGCTGTAAAAGCAGGAGTGTTATTCTTACAATTTCTAAGAAGGGAAATTTACAGATAGGAATATGAGAAGAAAAGAGGGGGTGTTATGTGGATAGGCCACTGAACAAAGTGTTGAGAACAATATATAAACTTCCCTGTGGGGGCAACAGTTAGGGACTGAAACAAAAGATCAGAGAAAATTAAGGTACTCAAAGCATAGACTAGAAGACTCAAAAGGTAGCAGCAGAGAGAAATTACTTAAAGATTTGACCCGTGTTCAAAATTTTACTGGAAGTGAGCTCGAAAACATTCATCTCTGGATAGAATGCTGGCAATTTTCTGTAGCTCCAACAGCAATAATGATAAATGAATTTCTTTACAGCCAAGTGGCTCAAGCAGCCAACTACGTTACCACTATATAATTAATAACAATAAGCAATTAAAGAGAACAGCAGGTTACAACTATAAGGTGTCAAAATATATTAGCAAAGGAAAATACTGCAACACATATAAAAGAAAAATAAATGTACAGCATGTGAATCCATATACAGTTATCTTCTTCCAGACTGTATTTTAGGCGAGGCTTTTATACTCAAGGAAAAATAGAGAATGACATAAAACTGCTATAAGGTGATTAGTATCCCTCCAAAAAACAAATAATGCTCCCAATGCTCAGGAAAGTTGGAAATGTGATCTAGGAAACATGATTGTGAAGGCTCCAGAGAGCTGGCTGACCACTATTTGGCATTATCCTTTTGTTAAGAAATATTCTAATAAATATCTTGCCAAACTGTATTTATTGGCTCAAGTACTCAAAGATTCCAGACATTTCGCCTTTTCATGTAAAATTGAAGAAAAGCAATAATCAAGGAAAATATAAGAAAAAAAGACATTATATATCTGGCTAAATGCTGAAGCATTACATAAAGGTTAGAAGGGGTCTGGAGACAATCTAACCATAGACTTGTTTAAAAGATGAGAAAATTAAGACCAGAGATATTAACTAATATTCTCAAGACAAAAAAATATGTTCAGATCATGGCCAGTATGAAAGGTTGAGCTTCCTGAATCCAACATTACACTGTCCCACCAAACTCTCATTTATAATACAAATTTTGGGACTGGTAGGTGGTTGTGGTGATTAAAGCACTGGACTCTCACATGGCCAACTGCAGTTCGAATCCCAGAACTGGTGGCTTGCCTTTTCACTCTCCATCTTTCTCTTTCTCTGTCTCTTCAGGTCAAATTGAATAATAATAATAATAATAATAATAATAATAATAAATAAAATTAAATAAATAATTCTAAAAATAAAAATACAAATTTCTGGGACAGCCGATGGAACAGTAGTAATGCGATACTTTGTTATGGTGGATCCCCATGGGAAGGTTCCAGGTTCACTTCCTGAAGCCTTCCTGTACATGCTGGGCATACAAACAAGTGCCCGTGTGCCTGTAATCGAAGCTGGCTGGGACAGGAGAGACTCACTCTTCCTCTCTTTCTTTCATAGAAGAAATAAAACAAATTTTTTAAAAATTAAAAATTTCCTCCGTTTCACGTATAACAATTTAATTTGTCAATAAAACAAAACAAAGTTATTGTTTTCTAGATCACTAAATGATGTACAAGGAGCTATCTATATTTCCAAGACACCGGAAAGAGCTGACAAACAAGGCCTGAATTTATTCTCAGCCACTTCATCCCCTTTGTTGTAAATGATGATAATTAAAGTCTCTCTTGCCCTGTGAAAGCTGACTTCTACCTTTAGGAAAGCAACACCTTAACGAATCTGTAGCACCTGTTGGAAAATTGAAACACTAAATTCCCCAGATCTCCAGATCCTTCAGAGGGGCTAGGAACACCATTCTCAGTAAAGCAACTTGGGTCTGAGCTGTCAATCTGAAAGAAACTTTCCTAATTATATGACTCGTGACGTAGTGCCTGAATGCTGAGGTTTCCTCTCAGTGGTAATAACCCAGTGATTTGGTTAAAGTGATACCTGAAACCCCATGGAGGCTGGGCTTCAGCACTCCTTTATGGAATTATAATTATTCAAAAATGAAGACTGATTTCTTAATTTTATTCTGCCTGTAACTAACTATATTTCTTTAAATTCCTGAGTCATTCCCTGATATGCTACTACAGTGAATGTTTGGGAAGAAACTGAGACTGCATGCATATTCAAATGTGTGTGGATTTACAAAAAAGGTAACCCCATAGTTTTGTGTGAAAATACAGGTTAGCAAAATGTGTTCCTGACTTTTTTCTCTTGGGCTTCCTTCTGATACACCCACACATCTAGACACTATATGCTAAACCCAAGATGTTACTGGCATACCAATGAATTATATTAGTACCTAGTGCCTTCTGTTCCCTGTCAGTCAAGAGCAGTATATGTGAGAAAGCTGTTATCTACTGTAATGGTAGGAAGAAGGGAGGGAGGGAGGAAGGAAGGAAAGAAGGAAGGAAGGGGTGAAAAATTCATGTTATAACAAAGTTTTTGTCTCATTTCTACTGTGTTTTGGAATGTAGTGAAGAAGTAGATGTCTCTAGATATTTTCTTAAGTCAAAAACTAAAACTAAGTAGGGCCTAACAAAAATCATGGATTAGGTAATAAGTGTATCTGTTAAATAAAGAACAAGACATAATAATTACGGAGCGCTCTTTCTCAGACAGTAATTCTTTATATTACCTTCTGCAAAGCTATTAAATATTTCTAAGACTATAATGCCAAATTAGAAAGATGCTTTGGGCACAATAAATTTTTAATCCCCTTATCTTTATGACAATTTTTCTAAAACCTGAACCAGCTCATTCAAGATCAGTTTTTAAAATTTAAATATTGTATACTGTATCAATATTAAGGGTGATAATGACTCTCCAAACACAAAAGGAAATATATCAAAATAATGTCACTAAATATCTGTTAATGGACAATATTTTATACATATAAAGGCTCTGCTTTTTCCTGCATGTGATGTAATCAGCATAGAATTCCAATGCTGTTTAAACAAACAAACAAAAAAAGTGTAAGTCTGATACCCATAACTATAGCCTTTACTGTCTTTCTGAAAGCAAGTAAACCTACATAGCTTACTTCTCAATTTCATTCTAGGTAAAGAAAAACATAAAAGTTCAGGATAGAAAGTGACCTATAGTGGTGTCTTGGCTTACTCTTCCTTCGTTTCTGAAA